ATTTCCAGCTCTTAGAATAAACAAAAGACTGCTTTCCAAGATTACTCTCAGCAGCATAGCGGGTGGGAAAATGTTGCCGCCTTGACGGGGATTTCAGAGGTAAGTTACCGAGCACGAATGCCCGTGCTGCTCTGCGTACTTCATTGCTCACAAATGGGATAAAATTATGGGGAAAAGGCAAAAGATAAACATAATGTAAGCTTTTAGTGAATTTATCAATGCATTGTTTCATGCCTAGCCACAAATGACTGCTGGAATATGGAATCAAACACCGAATGATCCCAGATGCTATTTTAGTAAACATTACAAGAATTACGGAAAAATGTAGGAAAAACACGTGCAAATGAACATTTTCTGGCTGGATAACGTTGAATACAACTCGAATGTTTTTCTTTTTTTAAAGCTAAACAATCAACGGAGCGATTTAATGTAATTATTCAACCTCATATGGGGCTTTAAAATAGGGCCAAACCCAAGTGATTCACATTTTAATTTCAGTGGTTTCAGCGGCCCAGGTTGTTTCACTGTGCGCAATGAAGCTTCACAATTCGTGTCATCTACGGCTGGCCGCAGGACTGAGGCGGCAAAGGAATATTTCTCCAAGCCGAAGCACGACCACCAGATGGACCCAGACGACTGCCTGGCAGAGCCATGCTGCATCCTGCAGTTGGACATGAGCAAAGTACAAACTTCCGAATTGGAGGTACGCCCATTGATTGGCCCTCGAGCCGTTAGCCCAAAAATGGTTTATTGGTACCACCCCAGGTGGCAAATGCTAATAATAACAATGCTATTGAAACATTTTATTTCTGGATAACAAATATGCATGATAGCAAGGTCAACCTGGTTGCTTTTTGTGAGAACAATTGCATAAAAGAAGGGTACGTTCGTATGTTTGGCAGAGAATATAACTTTCAAAAGTATTTACGCGACGTGAAACATGCATGAACTATGAAAATAGGAAGTGTGGATATAAGACAGTGTTTGTGTGCAGATTTCTGCCCAATGTGGACACGGGCAGTATTTGCCACCCCAGGTGGTACCAACCAAAACCCCCAACAAGGTGCATGTGATCACCTTGTGTCTGTGCAGCAAAGATATCTACAAAGTGTTACTTTATGACCAATATTTGTGTTTACTCCAGTGCATAGTAACTCAAATGAAGTGGTCAAATAAGAGAGTAGCCTCAAGTGCAGTTGAGCTTTTCATTGATATCTTTATTCTTGTTTGTGTATATTGTCTATACTACGTTGTTTTTTTCCCACATTGCATTTCATCTGCAATCATATTTACTGTGTTTAATTCTGTTAATCTCAAACACCCCTTCTGGCGTTTCAAAAATTTATTGCATGGGAGACACAGCATAAATAATACATGATGATGAAGAACCAAAGTGATGCAGAGGAAGTATTTCATTGATATTTTGTTGTTGTTTTTTTCCAGGAGATTACTTACGAATTTATATTTGAGGTCAAGAAAGCAGGACCTATGCACGGGTTTGCGGCGTGGTTCAGCACAGAGTTTAAGTGCCCCGACTCCAACCCTTCCATCATTTTGGACACAGGACCCATGAGCACGTAAGCCTGCCTGGCATTTCTGCTTTGTTCCCATCATCATTAGCCACGATAAATCCACTGCTGGATGAAGGCCTTTCCAATCCGCCACCACATGATCCCACGATGGAATTATCCATTTGCAATGTACACTTATGCCTGCAAATATTAATACAATGTAAACCTATTGTGGTAACTTGTAAACTCTATAACATAATTTTCCGTGTAATGTTTAAAAAAAAAGTTTCAACTCTGCTTTTTATTTAATTCCAAAACACCATGATCCATTATCTATCCACTGCCTGATGACAGCCATTGAACAACTTCGCCATCCCTACTGGTCCTGCGATCCCGTATTTCATCTCATTCCCTGTGGAAACGTTTACCATAGCGCACTGTGTGCTTATTTTAGACCGAGTCGACTTGTTTTAGGCCACTGGTGTTGTGGGCTGCGACCGAGAAGTGAACTTGTGTGTAGCCTGCATATCAGCTTCACTGCAGTAAACACGAAACCCACCGTGCGTGCACAAGAACGGCAGTAATTTTACTAATTCCAGGGCATAGGAAGTCGTAAATAATAAGGGTAGTTTCTTTTGTACGATGCGATGGACCAGACATAAAGCAACAATGAGCCCACATGCCTGAATGGCATTAAGTGTAATAATAAAAGGTTTAGGTGAACATTGCTGTCGAAACCCTTCCAAAAACTACCACACGTCTTTCGCCAGCTGCGCCACTACCCATAAAGCTCTGAACAATAAGCTAAATTTCTCCATTATCATAATGACACACGAGACGCACAAATGAAATTCTTTGAAAATAAATTTAGAAAATTAGTTTTAAAATATGTAATAGCACTGTAGTTGCTGTGAAAAATATTTTAATAACTGGTCATGGTTTCAATATATGATTGTCATTTAAGAGGTGACCAGGAATAAGGATTCTTATTCAGGCGCTCGCGCCAAATATCGAAGGCATGTCACCGGTACGTGCTCAAGCAACGTTAACCGTACCATTCCGTGCATAATTTGGCACATTTAACATCATGTAGCGATGATGTCACCGAGTAATCGTAAGCACTGGACGCGGCAACTAAAACAAAAGGCGAGTTTCTTTATTAATTATCCGCACCTTGACTACGTACGGTGTGAGAGAAGTTCAACATACATGCATTACATCCCCCTGCCTCGTTCCACCCAGCGGTGTAAATGGGTACAGCACAGGCGTTTGGCAGGCCACACACGATGAGGATTAAGTGTTGGTTCTCCCACCTCTTCAGAATAATAATGCCCTTTATTAATATATCGCTTTTCCCACGCTCAAAGCACTAAACAGTAAAACGTATTAAAATATTATACATACTAAAAAAATCGTATTGCATGAAAAAAAACACTGGCATATGTATAGAACATAATAGCAGCATAGAGCATTCAAGGGATGGAATATACTAGGTGGGAGAGTTGAGGGAATTGAAGCTAGATTGCAATACCTTTTGAACAGATGAGTTTTTATTGAGATTTGAAGGTGGAGATTGACTTGGCAGATCCTATCTCAATGGGCAGTGTTCCATAGCCTAAAGGAATTGAGAGGGCCCTATCACCAATGAAGTGGAGTTTGGTGGGAGGCGCGAGTTTGTGGGTGTCAAGAGGATCGTAGGGCACGGGCCAGGGTGTAATGGTGAAGACCAAAAAAAAAACCCTCAGAGGGCTCTCTAAAACTTCCTTAAGCCAGCAGTGGCATGAACAAGCACTTTCAAGGCAGTTTACCCCCCCTTACCTTCCACGTGTTTTTTTGTTGTTGCCTTCCCCACTCTGCGTGTGTAAATTCTCCGTTAGCGCCACACACTGGAAGCAAACGCTCTTCATGCTGGACTCCCCCGTGGCGGTGACTCCTGGAGACTTCGTGGTGGGCAGTGTCGCGCTGCGGAGGAACCCAGTCTGGAGGCGGCACATGAGCGTCGCTTTCCGGTGGCGAGTCGCCCCGTCCACGGATGCCCCCGATGCCATTGGCGTGCGTTAACAATATTGAAAAGTCAAATTTCGATTTAAAGCTTTCGTGACTGCAAGGATTCATCTTCTTTGGTTCTTTCGGTAAAGTCACGTAGAATGAGAATAAAATAATAAATTGATAAAATAACACAATAAAATTTCTCACGACGTTTCGGCCACAACACAAGTGGCCTTGTGGCCGAAACGTCGTGGCCGAAACGTCGTGAGAAATTTTATTGTGTTATTTTATTTTATCAATTTATTATTTTATTCTCATTCTACGTGACTTTACCGAAAGAACCAAAGAATATTGAAAAGTCGTCAACTTAAATTTGTAACCGACGCAGTTTCTGTTCACTTTCGAGTGAAAGAGAGAATTAATCAGAGGCGTGGGAAACCACAGGCAAACTGGAAGGCAGCCAGAACCCAGCTACAATAATTTGTCAAAGCTGTGGTCCTATATGATGTGGGAGAAAACCAGAGTACCCGGAGATGACGCACGTGTGCAAGGAGGGGGGGGGGGGGGGCGGGGGCGGCGTTGATAACAATCCCCACACAGGTGGAGCAGGTTTCCCATCATAAGCGACTGGTTATTGGAGGTGTGTAATGATTCTCAATTAATTGGGGTAAGTCGTCCAGAGTGGAGAGTGCAAAGGCCCACATTAAAACATTGTCCACAAATAGGAAAAATAATAATAAAATAACCTTTAAAAATGAAAACATTGTCCACAAATAGGAAAAATAATAATAAAATAACCTTTAAAAATGTGGTATATTTATTGAAAAATATTTTAAATACAAACTTTTTATGGACTTTGAAATGAACTAAACTTTTTTTTATTTTACCACGTAAAACCTACTGAGCTATTGTCAGAAGTGATTTGGCCACATGATAGCTCAACTGAAGTGGCTCATCACGTGGATATTTATAGCAGCCAAATACTCTAAGCACCAACAATGAACTGCTGTTCAAGGTGGAATATCTATACAATTTACTACTGTATAGGTTTTTGCAGTTGTTCATACTGCTCTCTCGTGTGTCCGTTGAGTTGTACCATGTGTATCGTTCTGCACGATGTCCAATGTTTTGCTTAAGCTCCTCGCCCCGTGCAGCGAAACGTCAAAACATAATGCCATAACAAGATGCGGCACAACCTGAAAACAAACCGGATAGCTATCTCAACAAGTCGTCGGCTATGTTGATGTTTAATAGTCCTTTGCATTAGAAAAGATGTAATTTACGGGATTGCTTGGGCTTTCTTTAACTGACTACATCTCTTTTCAGGAGGGCCAGAAAACCTTTCCTCTGTGGCGCTGAAGAGCACATTAATCAACGAAAAATTCCAGCTGCACAGTTCACTACACCCTCAACCTTGTTGCTCGTTAATAATAATTATTCGCACAATTTTTACACCTCTCCGTCGTTTTGTTTATTACAAATCTGAAGAATGACTGCTCATTGTGTTTATGTATTTTATTATTAAATCAGTCGTGTGTTTTAGTAATGTTTCGTCAATTTATATTTTAAATTATTAAGTGTAATTCAACCTCCATAATGTAGCACAACTTATTTCGGAAGGATGAAACAAGGATGATCCGTTGTGTTTTCATTGCTCTAGACAGTTGTGCGTTGTGTTGACAAACATAAATATGCATTAGTTTGCTTTATGTCACTAATCGACCTGTATGTCAATCTCGTCCATTAGTTGACAGGTGCTATGTGTTACACACAACTAAAATACAATGGCCACAATAAAGTTTTAAAAAATCTGCTACGGTTGTATTTTCCACTTATCTTTGAAGCTCATAATTCCGCAAATTGTTTACAGCAGTAAAAATTATGTATAATTTGCAATGCAAGCAATGTGATCCAAGGTAAATTTGCAGTTGCTTGCGTAGGCAACTGCAGGCAGGCGGGCCTCCCACAAGATAACATTCTTAAGCCCACGCTCTGGAGGGTATATGGCCTACTCTTCCACGCTTGTAAGATGTGTTGGAAGAGGTACCCACACTTGACCCTACCACCACACACAATACGTGCTTGGTGCTCAAGATTTAATGCAAATTAGGTAAAAGATGTTGCTATTGAGTTTTACACGTGTGTGTATATATAAATGTAGATGTTGACTATCATCCATTATGCTAAATTACAAAATTGCCTCATGCAAAGTATGACAATTGTAAACGAAGCTACCTTATTCAATGCTTTAAATAGATACTTTGCTGATAATACAAAGATATACATAATTCCTGTAACAGTGATTAAATTCACACTGGCATTCTTTTTCAGTACGAAAAGAGCATTTCCAAACAATTTACACAAACTCATTGTCAACAAATAACTATCTCCTTGGGATATGTTCCTAATTTTTGGATTAATCTAACAAAATTGAGCTTATACCTTTAAGATGATCTGGAAAAATGTTTTAGGACTAATCCAATCAAATGACGTTACAAGTAACAATAACATCACATCCACGCTGTTGCCACAAAAAGTGGTGTCACATTGCATCAGGTGATGTCACTTTGTTCACCCAAAAATAGATTAAATTAACATCCCAATGATTTTCAACCAAAACTCATCCATGACCTCTTCTTTAGTCCCTCTCTACTCACCCAAGCATACATCCATCATAAACCAATATACATGATAAACTTAGACATTCATAATAGTTTAAATCCTATGCACCGCAGCAAACCCATTTCGTACCATCCACACAGCCACAAAGCGTCACTGCACGGGGCTCAACAGGCTGTCGAACGGAGTCTGCTGCGGCTCTTGCTGCGGCTCTTGCTGCTGCTCTTGCTGCTGCTGCTGCTGCTGGGACTCATGCACCTGCAGCTCATCCTGCCGGCTCATCCAGCAGAAGACCAGGCTGGCCACGAGCGTCGCCAGCATAAGCCCCGCACATATGGTGAAGACGTCGCGGGGGCCCGTACGCACGTCTGTGTCGTGCAGTGCGAGCAGCCCGAGGCACGTGAACGTGTTCAGCGGCACACGCAGCCAGCCCAGTACCCCCGCCTGGCTCTTCTCCGGTATGACCTGTGGATAGCGTCGGGACACTTGTCAACGTCGTCACCACTTGATATATAAATACAGCGCCGCTTGTACAGGACATCTTGAGGCGCCCCGCGGCAGGGGACAACCGGTGGCAGGTTGGCAGCTAGAGTGTATACTTTAACTTGGCTATTTCAATTGAGCCATTGCAATGCTAAATTATATGCGAATTCCTTCGTCAAGGCGCTTTGTTTCTTCTCACACAGCTTAAAGGTCGTGATCTGAGCGTGGCTTTGTTCGCTCCAGCGCTGTCCTCCAGACAGTCTCGTCCCTTCACCTGATGAAGGCCGCTTGTGTTGTGGCCGAAACGTCGTGATTTTTGTTATTTTATTTTTTACCTACGTGGCTTTACCCAATAGAACCAAAGAGTATGGATCCTAGCAGTCACGAAAGCTTTAAATCTAGAATAGGTTGGCAGCTGTCCCTGTGACGCACAAGGTGAATGCAAAAATGGGCTTGCAAGTGGGCATTTGTCTGCAAGTCGGGGGCCATGTTATGTCACTTCCCAATTGCTCTAAGTAATTTATGAGTCGTTTATTTGGACCATGACAGCCGCACACATGGTCTATTTTTCTAATAACTCCAGGGGATCTTTAACAACCACCGTGAAACTTATGGCAGTGAAGTAATCAAGCTGATAATAAGAGTATTCAATTGCTTAAATCATTGGCTATCCTAACTCTTAAAATTTGTAAATGTATTATTTCCTTAAAAGTCTCGCCAAGTATTGCTGGGCTAGCATTGGGATGTTTTGTTAATGCCATTAATAAATATTTGGTATGGGGAATAAAACCCATGAACACAAAAGGGTACCACTTACATCTCTAAATCGATTCAAAACCCTCATTGCTCAAGCCTACAACAAGTATTCCCATTCACTCTCCAATCAAAGTACTTACTAGACTCAACCCTGCTTTGCTTCAGAGATCTTAAGCTTGGGTGCATTCAGAGAAGGACATTATGCCTGTCAGAAATATATTCAGACTCACAGTTACTGACCAGATTCCTCTTTTGAAAAGAGAAAAAAAGTAAATGAAGTCATTCTTGATTTGAAGCTTTCGTGACTGCAGGAATCCATACTCTCTGGTTCTTTCGGTAAAGTCACGTAGGTAGAAAATAATAATAAAAACACGACGTTTCGGTTGCAACACAAGCATCCGTCATCAGGTGATGATGCCATCAGGTGATGATGCCATCAGGTGATGACGTCCGTCATCATCAGTTTGATGACGGACGCTTGTGTTGCGACCGAAACGTCGTGTTCTTTCGGTAAAGTCATGTAGGTAGAAAAAATAATAAAAAGAACACGATGTTTGGAGCGAAACGGCATTTTCTTTTAATTATTTTTTCTACCTACGTGACTGTACCGATAAAACCAGAGAGTATTAATGGAGTCATGTCAATTGGACCTTATCTGACGGAAGGACGTGATCTGTATATTTAACAGGTAATGACCGCCAGCTATGACGCTTTTAATATTAAATGCTATCAATCATTTATCACTGTTACCATCCATTTTATATAGTGCCCCTCCAGTATAGTGTGCCCCCCAGCACAATGCTCACCCTGCAACTCAAATGCAGTAACTATTGGACAAATCCTAGCATGGGCGCTTTGACAAACCTAGGCAGATCGATATCACTCCATATTGCCAATTCGACATTTAACCCTGTGATGGCAGAGGCATTTAAACATGCTACTACAGACCTTTGAATTAACTGCATTAATACAAAAGGTTCCTTGCGTGGATAGGGAAATGCTGTGGTTACATAAATGGTGACGACAAAAAACATGTGGTGGAGTGGTGGTACAGTCGTTAGCGAGCTGCGCTATTAGCCTGGTGACTCAAGGTCAATTCCCTGGCATAACTAACATAAGTGCCGAGCGATAACAAAACCGGGCCTGCTCTCCCCCCATGCTTCTCCCACACTGACCAGCATGGTGAAGTATGGCCAAAGAATCCCCATGACTGATAGAGTGTGGGGGAAGGCTTCATTCAATGGTTAAGAATGTCTGTAAATTGGTTTAATAATTGTAAAAAAAACTAATAAGTCCAGCAGAGATGATTAGGGAGGGTGGGAGCAAGGAGGAAGGGGTCAGACAGTAGTAGGGTTCAGACAGTTCACCTATGCATACGTGGTTGATCTCGTGTAAAACCAAATCATGAGTATATTTTGTATTCACGCCATTCGTATAGCACGAAGCTAAAAAAATCTTTCACGAAAGGGCTGCAGTAGTTTCGCGGTAGGGGGCGATGATTGCTAGGCATCCTTCCAATCACTTGCGAGTAGACTGCCGAACGAATACATTATCAGGTTGCACTCATTTCACCAAAAGTGCTTGCCACATATAAACCACAACACCTTGCTGATCTTGTCAATGAGCATAAATCATCATGCGAAAACTGGTCATCCTCGCAGCAGGTTTTGCCTAACCATCGAACAAAGATGGACACTACATCGTTCACTTTCAGATGCGCTTCTGTGGCCGTCTGGAACGTTCTTCCTTGCAATGTTAGGAAGCCAATGAGCTATGCACATAAAAAATCTCGACTGAAAACGAATTTATTTTGAACTGCTTTTTGTGTTCAGTTTGGTTGTCCTTTCCCCCGCACCTCCGATCAGCACAGTTGGCTACGCACGGTGTGAAAGAAGTTCAGCGCAGACACGTACATACGTGTACAAACCTTGCTACGCAGGAAAGCAACGGCTGGGAAGTAGACGCCGACCGCGAACTCAAAAGCCAGGAAAGCCAATAAGGAGCGGTAGGGACTAGCGTTGGGGGGAGCCGTGCTCCACACCAGCTGCACGAACGCGCCGAGCGCAAGTGCCACGGACAGCAGCAGGGCGTGCGTGGGCTGCACGAGCGGGCGAGAGGGCGATGTGGCGAGGCGGTAGAGCGACGAGCCGGCGAGGCTGGCCAGCATGAAGGAGGAGAAGGCTATGCCGAGCGGCGCGTTCCAAGGGTCCAGCACGGGAGTCCACAGGAACACGAACATGTAGACGGTACTCTCGAACAGGGCCTGTGCGTAGTGTTTCAAGCGACTGGATGTAAGCATTTATACTACGTAACGTATTCTAGTTCTTTTTATATTTCATGATACAATTACACGTATAAATTGGCATTGTTGCCATGGTGTAATGGCACCCTGAACTTGCAATCCAGTGGTCCGCTGGTCCATCTCACTTTGCTGCAGTTGAAAAGTTGGGCAAGTTCCCTACACACCCCCCCCCACATCTGTCTATCCAGTAATATAAACGGGTGAGCCACGGTTATTTGATCGGGAAGTTGTGCGTAGTGGGGGTACATTAACCTCTTCCAAGACGTCTGACCAGCATGAAAGAATAGGCCCGATTCTCCTCCAGGGGGGGCCCTTTAGAGCTTTCTCTAGTGGAGGCCCTTATACCATCAGTGGCGCGAGCAGACAATTGCAGGGGCTGCACCTTTACCTTCGACTCCGATGAACGTCGCGCACAATACCTGTATAGCCGCAAGCAGCAGCACTTTGCGGTCGGACAGCAGGCATCGCAGTCCCTCAATGCAGCTCCTCCTCAGCCCAACCTTGGTCGCGCTGCGATTTTCATCCCAGCGCCAGACGATCAGCGCCCCCGAGACGGCCAGGAAGGGCACGGCGAGCACGAACGGGGCCACCGGCCCAAAGGCCAGCGTCTCCGCGGCCACGTTAGCTACGACGCCCGCCACAGCCGCAATGGCCCCGTTCCACAGGGCCACCTCGGCCAGAGTTCCATCCACCCACTCTGCTGGGAAGTCGTGAATCTGCCTGTGCTCGTGCTGGTACCAGGTCTGCGCTTGGGGAAAACGAGAGAAGCACGGGAGGCAAGTGAATGTGGTAGCTGCAAGCAGGTTATACGAGTGGGCAGTTTCAAGGTGACTAAATGTCTTTTGGACGGGTTGTAAGGCGTGGAGTGCAGAGGTGGCACAGTATCGTTATCGCACACTTTGCTATCAAATTCTGCAACTTAAGATCATTCCCAGCCAGGGCAAATCGTCAGTTGCGAGCGATTTCCAAACCAGTCCTGGACCCCCCCCCCCCCCACATTCAAAATCCGCACGAACTAAAGTGTAGTCAAAACAACCCCATAAATGACATGGTGTGGAGAAGCCTTCATCAATTGTCAGATTGAGAATGGCTGGGAGTAACTATACATCCCATTCATTGGTGTGCCCGGCTCCTCACTGGGTAAAGTTTTGGTGGATCTTACGCACTGGCCAATTGCGGGTTATGCTGGGCAAGGCTGGAAACTTTATTGACCTGTAGTGGGATTTTTTGTGCAAATGCAAAATGTGTTATCAACTATTGTCTACCTAACGATTAAGGCTTCCCCACAGAGTTTCAATACCTTAAGGTCCTGTGATGCCACAATCCATCTAGTTCCAGCATACGGATTGATCTCATGGTTCCATATCAAGTGACTTTTGCTACCATTCCATCACCGGACTCAACCACGGGCCATCACACCTAGCAAGAGCTACTTTGCTCAAGCCCACTTACATTCACTTACTTACAACATGACGCACCCGCTTTGCGTTGGGAGTGCATTTATTTGCTTACATAAATTGGATGCAAATTGTGCATTAATTTTAAAATCAATCCATCAATTATTTGAAGCAAGAATCGAAGGTATTCACCAGATTATAACATGGCATTTTGGTCCACATTTGTCCGCGTAAAAGCATCACTCTTTTGTGGGTTTCATCAACAAAAGTTACGTGCAGGTGGTAGGCAGTAGCAATGTTGGACCTCATGGGCTGTGAAGAGTAGGGCGGTGGAGATCCCACCCAGGATTCGGGCTACGAGCAGTACAAAGTAGCCGCGCGACAGCTTCAGGAGGCAGCTGGCCGCGCAGAGCAGCGAGAAGAGGACGCACGACGTGCGCCGGCCGCCCAGCCGCTCGGCGAGTGTGCCGACAAACGGCGCCAGCAGCAGGCCCGCCGCGAAGCCGCACACGTACAGCACGGCGATCTGCGGCTCCAGGAAGCCATAGTGGCTGTAGAGCTTGTACAGGTACGGACCTGTTCGACGACACACAATGCTCAGTGTGGACACATTGCATGATTGTGTCATGACAATAGCGCCTCAACGCGGTGTGAGAGGACGAGTGGCCACAGGAGGTAGTGACAGGGAAGTTAGTCTACAGTGCAAATGCACTAGTGGCCACGGGAGGTGATGACAGGGGTATCAGTTGTGAGTGCGAAGGGCCTGGTGGCTACGGGAATGTTTGAGAAGGGAGCGTGGTCAGGTGACGGAAGAGGATGGTCGAGTCTGCCGATAGAGCGTGGCCTCATTTTATATATAAGGGAGAGGCGTGGGAGACTCGGGGCCATTGCAGTCGGGTCTCCGCCTGATGTCAAGTGAATGTGTCTTCAATAAAGTGCCATCTCAACAGAAGTGTGTCGAGTCATCATTACAATTGTATGAGGAGCTTCTTTTGCGCCGTATGTAGCCAACCGTGCTAATCGGAGGTGCGGGGAAGGACAACAAATTAAACGCAAAAATCGGTTCTAAAGAAGTGAGTTTTCAAACTAGATTTGAAAGTACCAACTGTACACAAGGCTTGAGGGTATTTGTGAATCTACAAAATAAGGTTGCCACAACGTTTTTCACGACACAAGTTTCACAAAACGACAATTACATACAACGTACATGAGTAGAAAATATTACATTTACACAATTTTAGATTAACAATACATTTTAACATGCCTAACTCTTAAGCGGTTAATTGTCAAAACAATGTAATATACAGTTCGTATAACATCTTGTAGTATCGCAATATCGCGGCAACCCTACTACAGAGGTTTTGTACAAACAAGTGGATGAAGATACTTATTATTGGTGTACACCGTCATGTAAGCCAAATATGCTTCATAATTGCAACGGGCAGCCTCCTCGAGTTAATCCGATGAAAGAAAATGTATTAAGCACTCTCCTGGTACATTGTCAGTTATATTTTAATTTTTTTTTAACAATGTTCCGTTACACCGTACAAAAAAATAAATAAAATGTCATAACCATTTACAAATGGACTTTCTGAACCAATGTTGAGCAGGCCTCAGTTTCGTGCTGGGTTTTTGTCTATAAAATACAGTAAACCAGCAGTTTGACAGTCCACAAACATCTGACAAAACTCTAAAAGGGTAATATGGTCCAGAGTTTGCCTACTTGAACTAAATTGCACTTGAAAATATTGCTTCAGCAAGGTTAATTGGCTGACAGACTTAAATATTTAAGTCTGTCAGGGGGCTTTATTGTTACTTATAATAATAGGGTTTTTCCCCTTTTTTCTGGCAACAAAACTGAAACCTTTTTTTACAAGGATTCATGTCTGCATTCACCACAATACCTGCAGTCAAAATGCAAACAAAAAACATACTATGATAATATATGCATTGTCGTTGAAACTGTTACTTGACAAGTAAAATGTCTTTATTGTGCCTATTATAGCAGCCTCATGAATGTTTTAATATTTCCAATAACCGCAGTCCCCTGAAAGTAATCAAATGAAATATTCTTAGCTCTTTCGGTAAAGTCACGTTGAAGGGAAACAATAAAATATATATAAAACAATAACAATTCTCACGACGTTTCGACCATAACACAAACAGTCGTCATCAGGTGTGTCGGTTTGCATAATTTTTTTTATTTTTAAACGGCGTATTTATTTATTTATAAAAAAACGTCAGCGCCATGCGCAGCGATTTGGCAGTTTATTTAGAAGGACTAGTCCATCTATATTCTGAAAAGAGGAGGGGGGAGACGAAAAATTAATGTATGCTGTCTGAAAGCCACTGTAAGCGTGAACAATCAATTAAGACCTGAAATGGTTTATCAAATCTTTCCAATGATTGCTAAGCCAGAATCCATCTTCTCGGTTGAAATTGTACAGAGACAATTTTTGTACAGAGACAATTTCAACCGAGAAGATGGATTCTGGCTTAGCAATCATTGGAAAGATTTGATAAACCATTTCAGGTCTTAATTGATTGTTCACGCTTACAGTGGCTTTCAGACAGCATACATTAATTTTTCGTCTCCCCCCTCCTCTTTTCAGAACATAGATGGACTAGTCCTTCTAAATAAACTGCCAAATCGCTGCGCGTGACGCTGACGTTTTTTTTATAAATAAATAAATACACCGTTTAAAAATAAATAAATTTATGCAAACCGACACACCTGATGACGACCGTTTGTGTTATGGTCGACACGTTGAGAATTTTTGTTTTATATATTTTATTATTTTATTGTTTCCCTTCAACGTGACTTTACCGAAAGAGCTAAGAATATGAATTACTGCAGTCACGAAAGCTTTAAATCAAAATTTAATCAAATGAAATCAGAAAATCGACATGGCTAACAAACAAATCATGGTGGCTGTTTAGTTCCCTGGTGTGTTTTCAGGCTGTGCTCGTGTTGTTCAGCACGACGTCTGACATAAAGCTTTGCATGCTACGGAGCTTCTTCATTAACTGAATTCAGAAAAAAGCTCCCAGCGCAGAGAGATAAATATCGGACATCATGCCGTACAACACAAGGCGCAACCGGAAACACACATCTTTTACTTCGTTCCTGAAGAGTCCCCCAGCACGTGAAGCGAAACGTAGGACATATTGCAAAAATATAATCGGCGCTCAAACCTGAAAACGCATCAAACGACCGTAACAACCTACACTGCAAGGGGGCTTTACCTTGCAGCCAGTCGGCGGCGAGAGCCAGAAAGTAAGGAGCATAGAAGTGCAGTTGGAAGTTCCTGTACGTTGGGTTTCGCACGGCATCTGTTCCCAGCCGGGCTCGGGACGCCAGCCATGCCAGGGCCAAGGAGGCGGCGCACAGAAGAACGAAAGCAGCGTAGGTGGCCCCAAGCATCTTCACTCTGCTGTGGAAGTGCTCTGCAGCTGACCGCTCATTTCGTCACCTGCTGGGAAAAAGATGGGAGGCAAACTGATGTCATTACTCATGCAACAGAAAAGCAATGTCTTCTTCATACATCTGCCTCTCCATGTAAAGAATAAAAGTATTTTTCACACAATGGTATTAGTGGTTAAATTTCGATTTAAAGCTTTCGTGACAGCAAGGATTCATCTTCTTTGGTTCTTTCGGTAAAGTCATGTAGAATGAGAATATTATTTTATTCTCATTCTACGTGACTTTACCGAAAGAACCAAAGAAGATTAGTGGTTAAATTGCATTGTTACAAGATGACTTTCGTTGTGGTTAATGGTAGTTACAATAACTATTTGTCATTACTGAAACTATTGGTATAGGACAGTTACTAGTGATATCTGAACCAGTCCTGGGTTGCTTGCTCCCTTCACCAACCCACACTGACCACCATGGTGAAGTATGGTCAAACAACCCTCCATGACTAAAACGGTGCGGGGGAGGTGAACATCCTGGGGTGACTGATAAAGGACTCAATTATATTACACCAACAGGTGAACGTCATTACAGTAATATTCACCTTGATTTGACCCAATTGTTAAATCCTCTTGAGACATGTATCTATTGTTAAAACCCAACACAACGGCAAATATTTTCAACGGTAAAATAATCACAGAACCAATGTTAATTAAGCATGACCACATTCTCCGGTTCGTAAGATGCTCCGGAAAGTAAGACGCACATCCCGATCTTGCGCCCCGCGTCAATACAGTCACGCAAATCTGGTGACACGTGCTGCCTCAACTGACTGTTGGGGCAAGTGCTGTTAGCGAGCAGCACTTATTAAGGCCGGCACTGCACACGAGGGGGTGGGTGGCCAGCAATCACGCCCGGACGCCTTTGTCTCCCCAGTTGCCGAGGTTTTTACACACCGTACCAAGGTATTCATTTGAGACTGAGTCGACCTAGGGGAGGCCCAGGACCGGTTCTGATAATCATCGCAGGTGTTGGTGGCCGTCAGTGGGAATCGAACCCCGGTTCGTAGCGTGGCGGGCTAACCGATGTGCCACCGCTCTTCACAACAACATCAACAACATCCGCTATTCGCCACTAAGTGGCGGTGTCGTCACCGCCGAGCTTGTGCCAGGCTACGTGCACGTTAAGGTCACTATACACGTACACAAACCGGAATATAAGACGCACCTTAAATTTAGCTTTAAATACTTGGCGGGGAGGGGGGGGATAGCGTCTTATAATCCTTAGACTGCAGCACCAGAATTATAACAAACTAACCGCTGCCCTTGTATGACAGAAAAAAACAAGAATTGGGTTTTTACCCTTTCTGGCAATAAAAAAAGATTCAACCTTTGGCAAGGAATCAAGCTACTGCTGCATTAACCGCACGCGGTTCTTGCGGTGAACATGCAAATAAAAACATGATCTGATAATATCTGGGCATTGTCTTTGATACTGGTAAAAAAAATAAGTAATATTGAAAGCAACTTTTTAATAAAAAAAAACACGCTTTAATTAAATGTACCGTACTGGTAATGTCAGAACTCCACGACTCCAGGAAGTGGCCCCGAAGCTTGCCATAACGTAACGGACCCGTGGTGATTTACAGCCAACGTGAGTTGTGCGTGGACAATTAGACCCAAGCCGAAACATAACATATAGAAAAGATTGTTTAAAAAGAATGTTTGATAGAATATAGTATTGTCATCAGTATGACATACGTTTACCAAGTTTGCAGTCGATACCACATTGGGGAAGTGAGTTAAAATTGAGTTACAAGATTTGAGGATACAACAGAGTGAGTTAATAGAAAGCGTGTAATAATAATAAAAAGATCCCGTTTTGTATCCACTGCCCTTGACATATTTCCAAGCACAAAGAACCATAACCGTGCACAATCAAAGCACACTGCAGTGCTACAACATGGCATACAATAAGGCTGTATTGTATTATTGAGGCAAGTCAAATACAGAGGCTGTGTGATGTACATTAGGAAAAGCTGACGCTGGATATAAGCACACATTATTCGAGCACTTTTCTGACATAAGCAACGCATTCCTAGATTCGACTGGTCGTGGTTGGGTACTGCAAAATTAACTTCTGATAGCAAGCACGCTATTTGCAGTAGCACGGTAGTACTTCGGTATAAGCACACGTGCGCCATATCTCCCAAGGTGGGTGTGCTTATAACCGGCGTCTATTGTAAGCGGCCAAAGCTTCGCGCCGCGGGAAGTTCAGGGCCCACGGACAGCAACGCGGCAATAAGCACAAGCGAATTGGGAGTCAAATTGCACGCCGCAAATGCAGTCAACGCATCAACTCGACGCACGGACATTAGGACACGCGTTGCAAGATGACGAGGCGACGTTTCAGGTCAATGGCCCTCGTTCGTCGCCACTACCAAAAAAAAAACCTGACGTTCGGTGTCACGGCGCGGCTTCACGCCGACATGGCATTGTTATTGCCACTATCGGGGTTATTTTTGTGCCGTTGTTCTTCCCAACGTACGGCGAGCAACAATTGAATGAATCGGAACTCGCCATCGTAAACATTGGGAAGCACTTTAAACATTGGGCGGCGGTCTGTACCCGCTTCGTAAACGCACCTTACTGCAGGCCGTGTAACTCCACTCCGCAAATCCGCAACACGGTGCAAATGCACCGTTAAGCGTCCGTGTCAGAGACTTCAATTGGCCTTTGCGGGACCAAACATTATTAATATTATCACTACTACTACTACCCGACACAATCCCGGCGGCATTCGTTTTAACAAAGACGGTGACGCTGAACCACGTTGGCTCTTCACGAAGCCCCCCCATGCACTTGCAGGCCTGCAACAGAACGTTGTGGGCAAGTGCCGTAAGAGAACAGCGCATTTGAAGGGCCAGCGCGGCACACGAGGGTGGCCCAACGCGACACCCGGCCGCCTTTGTCTCCCCAGTGGCGACGTTTGCCGCACACCGCAACCAGGTGACTCACCCCGGATCCAACTCTGACCCCACCACCACCATCATCACCACCAGCAGCAGCGGCAGAGGCAACGTCCTACTTCCGTGCGCTCATCCAATCGGGGGACCACACGGGCAGAGGCAGTGAACCAATCACCGGACTCAACTGTCTGTTGACATTGGGGGAGCGGTGGCGCATCGGTTAGCGGCGCTGCGCTGCCGGCCACGTGCGAGTTCGATTCCCGCTCAGGGGACAACAACCGGCGACGATTGTGTGAATGGGTTGTGCGGATTCGGTCTAGGATGGATACCGAAAGAATCAAACAAGATAGAAGTAAAAATTTCAGGAATCTTTTAGAGACTAATTGGATGCATAGATATTCAGTTCATTAAAGGCAAGCCACAGTAAACTATAAACTACATTTTTTTATTTTACCAGGTAATTGCCCACTGAGCTATACAGCTTTTTTTTCAGAAGCGACCTGTCCTCAAATGATAAACTAACAAAGTGGCTTATCATCACGTGGAAATTCACAGGAGCCAAATCCCTAGACACATACTCTTTCGGTAAAGTCACGTAGAAAGAAAATCATTTGAATAATAGAGTACGACGTTTCGATTGCAACACAAGCAACCGTCATCAGGTAGAACTAAATTTAAGAGAGAGACAAAACACAGACACGGAGACACAGACAGACACACAAGCAGAGAGAGACAACACAGACATTGACAATGCATCTGTCTGTCGACACAGAGGCATTGGGTCTCTGTGTGTTTATGTTCTGCGTCTCTCTATGTGTGGCTGTTGTCTCTCTGCTTGTCTGTGTGTCTCCGTGTCTGTGTTTTTTCTCTCTCTCAAATTTAGTTCTACCTGATGACGGTTGCTTGTGTTGCAATCGAAACGTCGTACTCTATTATTTAATTAATTTTCTTTCAACGTGACTTTGCCGAAATGACTAAAAAGTAATTCCTGCAGTCACGAAAGCTTCAAATCAAGTTCGCACCATCCATAAACACATGTTTCTAAATGTGGAGGGAAAACCCTGAAAAATCCACTCGACCACGGGTCGGGATCGAACTTTTGTGACCCTGCATCCCAGGCAAGGTGGGATAACGTCTCGCCAACGTGGCGCACGGGAGTGTAATTGTGGCCATGCAACCCAAACGATGGACGATAGAGTAAACCCAGTGTACAGAGGGGGAACAGAACAGGTCCCTGCAGGGTGGGCTGGTAGGAACATTGGAATTTTGCGCAATTTTATTTTTACACCCCAACAGCACGAGATTTAATTGAAAGGGGACGGACGGACGGACACATTAATCTATTGCAGGCTGGTACACTCAGTTTACAACTTCGTTCCTACCAGTAAAAACTACATCAACTCTCTCTGGTCGTGGCGAGCAGACCTCGACATTGCCATCAAACTGCCGAACATATGGTGGCGATCATGCGCCAGAATATAATGACTATCTTCACGCTTGTTTTCTCATGAAAAGCCTCGTTTTCAAGGAGAGGGCCTCCTAAGTTTCCGCTGCTGTGCATTATCCTAATTAAGTAATTTTTTTTTGTCCAATGCCAGTTACGTTATGTTTTTTTTTAAATTTGTTATTTATGGGAGGAAACCAGAGAAGCCGGAGGAATCCCATGCAAAACAGGGGGAGAACACACAAACTCCGCACACAAGTCAGGAATCTAACCCAGGTATACGCCACGTTCGTGAATCTACCGCTGGATGGGGACCTCCTTCCCCACGCTGTGCCGGTCAAAGGGATGATTTGACTATACTTCACCACGCTTATCAGCGCGTACTAGAAGGCCTAACCATAACCAATACATACGTATAACGTCGACTATAATACCGTGCATTACAACTAAAAGTGTATAAAAGTTTACTGTACAGTAGTGGGGATAAGATTGGTGCCAAAAATATACACTAGGTGGCGACTTTGCACTAATAGACTGCTGTATTAGCTAACAGGCAATTAGATTAATAAAGTCTTATAATCGTTTAAGAACAACTTAAAACCCAACTTCAACTTTTTAAGTTCAAGTTGATCATCGTTAAAACTGAAAAAAAACTGACTCTAAGTGGGGTGTTTGACATAGCCATACCTTAAATGACTGACTAAAAATCTCTTATAAATTTATATTTTATGAATTAAAATATTCTACGCTCCAGTGATTACATGAAATGTATTACATTTTTCTTCTTTGGTTCTTTCGGTAAAGTCACGTAGAATGAGAATAAAATAATAAATTGATAAAATAAAATAACACAATAAAATTCTCACGACGTTTCGGCCACAACACGGCCTTCATCAGGTGAAGGGACGAGAGAGAATTTTGTTGTGTTATTTTATTTTATCAATTTATTATTTTATTCTCATTCTACGTGACTTTACCGAAAGAACCAAAGAAGATGAATCCTTGCAGTCATGAAAGCTTTAAATCGAAGTATTACATTTTATCGAATGAAAATCACGGTGAGCAACAGCACTAACATTGAGTGTACGTGACCGTTTTTTTTACTTAATTTAAAATTGCTGATGAGGATTCTGCAAGAGGCTCCATCTGTTTCACCTTCATTCAATGGACTTGTATATTTTCTTTGCACGTTTGCAATATCACGTGTGTCACTCTTATCACGCTGCCACTCATGCACGGACATTCTGTACATTCTGTACAGCTTGCACACTTCAGCAGAATCCCCACATTTCACACCGTGGTAGTTCTGTTTTGTTTTTTGCATAATGGCAAAATGTTCAGGAGTTAGATGTCCACGTCGAGCCTAGCCACGGACGACAAAGAGGGCTTCGGGAGAGAAGAGAGTTCGTGTGCAGTTTTTGATACTGCTCCGTTGAAAGAGCGCAAACTACTGTGGTTTACGATACTGTATGGCTCATTGTATGGGTTGCATGGACACAATCGCACTGCTGTGGCTTGTCTTATTTATAAATATGTGCGCATCGGCCCGTTGATGTTCTGATGCGGTTGATGGTCACACCAGCCAGCGTCTCCCAGGAATGTCAAAGCCAGGATGTGTGAGGTTTGGGTCTCAAATGAGGCGTTTATTCTGGACGTCTGTGTCTTTTTACACTCCGTTCGCCCGCGTTCTTTTGGATCTGGGTGAGATTCGAGGATGGTGATAACGCGATCCCAGAAGGGACATCAGGACTTGAGTCAACGGTGTATATGTATATATGTATTTGCTCATTTATTTCAAAAGCACACAAAGTTGATTGACCTCATTCTTACACCTGCACTTTGTAGATTAATTGTGATTCCATGGAGGGCTCTCGCCTCCAATGTGACTCGAACGTGATTGGGGTTTTTTTTTTGTGTGTGTGTTCGTTCACGGGCCCGTTAAAATTGCGCGGTTTCTTTTTTTTTTAAAGCACAATGGTTAACGCCGCGCCTGGACGGATACGATAGGATTGGCTCTGCTTTTAAGAGAAAGGATGCGAACAGACAGGCAGGCAGGCAGCCAGACAGCCCGCACACCAAAAGCCCAGCGGGAGGGCTGCCCCACGGCCCCACGGCCCACGCAACTGGCAAAGATAATCACGGCGCAAAACCAGGGTGGCGGGAGGGTGGGGGGCCAGGGTGGCCCCCCACCCACCACCACCACCACCCCACATTCTCTCTCCCCATCAAGGACGCGCGCGCACGCACGAGAGGCGAATAAGAAGCCCCCAGACTGCTATGCGCCCGCTCCTCTCGCGATTTGAGGCTCGTTCTAATTTGCTGCCTAATTAAGATACCACAGCCTGCGTCGCCATACCGCGCCGCTGCAATGTTTACCGGAATACGCGAGCGTATGTTTGTTGGGCTTGTGTGTTTGGCAATTGCTGTATTGAAAATTGTTGGGGGGGTTTAAATATATATAAATGTGGTGGACGCATGCAGATTGACAAATGCTGTACACGGAAATTATGCTGTTTGGAACACATCATTCTGAGTTTTTTTTAATCCAGCATTTATTTATATAGTGCAGAGCTAACAACAACGTTGATGTCGTTATTACGATGTTGTAAATTGTGCTCACAAAACACACCACACATACACACAATGTGCAATATGTGTATTGTATGCTGACATACATCATTAAATGGCGTGTATGGAATTGTAATCACGGCTAAGGTGGAGACAGATTAATTATGTAAGACCCATCTTCAATACGCATACAATCGTCATTCAGCCTATTGTGCCGCCTAATATTGTACATTCAGTGTTTTGTTTTTTTGCAAATGCAACGTGAGCCTATTTAGACAACAGTGGCACAATTGCTGTGTGTGCGTGCATGCAGAAAGGTGCATTTTATTTATTTATTTGCTGAGCAGAATGTGTTTCAGATTGAATCCGAATTTCAAATTGCAAATCGCTAGGGGACGTCCACATGAAAACGAGCCCAGAGGTTATTTCTGACAGATTAGGAATACTCTCCTACACTATTCTGCCCTGCCAATTAAGCACGCCGCGCAGCAAATGCGCTTATCGAAGTGACTGCGCGTGTCACTTTGGTTACTTTAAATTATGTCAGTTTGTGTCTTCTGGCTTCTCTTTGGCTAAAGCTGTCTGTAGCTGAATGCCCAGACATGCCGAGTGAGAGCTCATAATACAGCTCAGTCTGTCCGAAGAAGATTCTTCGCTAAATCCGTACCGAATTCAAGCAGCTCCTCTGGGCCCAAGGTGATATACCCTAATTAAAAGTCAAGTGCAAAAGCATTATGTTTGCTTTACGTTTCATGTAGGACTGACATTTTTCACATTATTTCCTAGCGGGTGTGTATATATATTTACGCGGCACTGCTGAACTATATATGTATGTATTAAGGATGAGTTTTGTATATATTTTGAAATAGGACTTATAATTTTTGTGTTTTTAAGGACATTTACAAATACAAGTAATGTATCTTCGTGCTATCAATATTTACTTCAGCTGGGTCGACACGATGGCACTGTTGGGAGAAAAAGCATGGGTGTGATGTCATGGAAGTGATGTCACTTCCTTTCGGATAAACGAG